CGCAACAAAAAACAACACTGGGTTGCAGAGTTCTGTCTCATTACGGTGGCCCCGAAGTGCAAACTGCAACTACAAATCTAAAAGCGCAACTACATTAAGGAAAACGCAATTACATTGACCTACCGGAAAAGGTAGGTACCAGTGGGAAACATGAGACATCGCTGATTGGACGACGGCGCCGTTTGACCCTTGAACCGGAAGTCATTCTGCCTGCTGCGGCTTTTGAAAACATGGATATTGTCGGCGCCCCAAACATAGCGGCCGTTATCCAGGAATATTTTGAATCATGACATACATACGAGGCGATACTGGATATGCTCAAGACTAATCACGAAATTTCAGTTAGTTTGCGTACACTGAAGACACACTTAAAAGAAGCTGGACTGTTCAGACGACGCAACTTCCGGGTCAAACAGCGGCGGCGTCCAATCAGCGATGTCTCATGTTTCCCACTGGTACCTACCTTTTCCGGTAGGTTAACGTAGTTTTGTTTTCCTTAATGTAGTTGCGCTTTTAGATTTGTAGTTGCAGTTTACACTTCAGGGCCACCGTAGTTTTATATTGTAAAAACACTTTACAGTACAGTATTTTAGTGTTTATCTTTTAACTTCACAATTATGTTATTCTTATAAATACATTTTTATAAGGTCCACATTTGTGTGTCCATTTTTTTATAGATTTTTTTGCTGCTGTAAAGACCAGAATTTCCCTATTGCCGACAGATCCTCCCACCTGAGCGATGCACTTCCGCAGCTCCTCCAGTGCTACTATAGCTCTCTTGGGTACATGTTTTAGTCGGTTTATCATTGTGCCATACTATTTAAACAACTTAAAGGTGTAAAGGAATATCTTTTATTTCTGGGTGGATCATCTCAATAAGTGGTCTTCCTAATTGTCAATCACATGTTAACATAAGGCCGTCCAACGTGTTCATCCCGTTAGCTATCTTTTTCTGCGCACTGTCAGGCGCATCTCTGGGGTGAGCTATGGTTTCAGACAGTCATCGAAGCTCACCTTTCTCCCCGCGGTTCTTAGAAAATGGCCGATGGTCGTAAGAGAAAAGAAAGGCCTCAGAAGAGGCAGATATATCCAGGAATGCTTTGCATGGAGAGCTCTCCTTGCAAAGCATTATGGGATTTGTTGTCACAGCGCCCCCCTGTTGCCATAGGCTGCCGCTACCCGACAACAGCGACTAATAACAAAGATGGCAAAGGCACTGCGCAGTGGAGGAGTTACATGACCAACGGTGAGTAAAAAATAGTGATAATTTGTCCAAATGGTCAGTTAAGTGAGTTTGCTATAAAGTCCACTATTTAGTCCCCACTCTATATAGTGACTGAGGGTACAGGGTTGTGCATGTGCATTTATTTTTAAAGTGGCAGCAGCTGTTCCAAACGTTGCATTTCCAAATTCTCCCATGTGGTGCACGACTTTCCACGAGTGAATAAAGTGAATGAGTTTGGAGGAAGGTTCGCAAGCTCTTTGGTTGGGGCTGGTTTGTCGGAAGCATCTTGCTAACCAGTTAGCAACTTAGTGCTAGTA